AGCCGGAACACGCCCAGACGTACCCGGAAGTTCCGGTAAAGGCTTCCTTGGTGTTCCCTCCCACGACGTGCTCAGCTGCGGCCGGAGCGGTGATCCCAGAACTGTGGCTGGAGCTCTCGTATTGCGGACACTCGCCGACAGGCTGCGCTGATAACAACACACAGGTGCTCTTGACAGCCGTGATGTGTAGAGGAAGCTCGTAGTTCGTCGTCCAGTGACACGGCTCTTGTGGTCCTGCTTACAGGTGGTCTTCTCGCAGCAGGTTCTTGGCTACCCGAGGCGCCGTGAACTCACGCTGAAGTGCGAGCTGTTTGGGCTTGCGGGACACTATGTGCTAACCCTGCGCTCCAAGCTCCCAACTTTAGTTCCGGTCATGAATATGGAACCGGCGCATATCAAGGTAAACTGGCTCGCCAAACTCCCCGTCTTTTCTCTCTTGGTTGCTTTGACCGACATAGACGGGAGCACCGAAGCCGAATATCACGCAGCCCTTCCGTCCCTTTCAGGTGGCGGTGAGCGACAAGTTCGTCTTCAACGTCCACGCACGCAGCATCTTGCCCTGCGACTTCCTGGACGGCGGGGCCAGTATCCGGCGTGCGAGCCGCGTGTGGATCGCGTGCGCCTGTTTGCCAAGCTGAGGGCCGACGTGGCGTCCCTGGCGCCCCCGACGTCTCTGCACTACGTGGCCGAGCAGCGCGTTCCGCCCGGAGCCCACAGCCTGCGGTTCAACTGCGACTTGTTCTCGGAGCGCTACGTCGAGTATTGCTTCGTGTACGTGAACCAGGCAGTGACGGGGGCTGTGACGGACGTGAGGATGGACTGCGTGCCCACCCTGCCCGTACAAGGTGAGGCCCGCTGCTCTGAACTAGCTTCCCAGAAATCAGTTTTAATATTATCCTCGCAGTGACACTCGTGTTCCTTCGTGGTTTTGCTTGCCTTGATATTTCAGAAGACGCCTCCCACTGGCATTTGGCAGAAATTGTTCCTGCTCTTGTTTAAAGGATGTCACGTTTATTGACTGAAACAGCGCCTTCCGATGCGTCGCTGTCAAATCGCATTTATATCCGCTCGCAGCCACCGCGTTCACGGCCTCCTGTTTGCGACTTTTCCTTATTTACGTCGCAGATAAGAAGGCACTAGCAGTAAATCCCGACCAGTCGATAACCGGTGGCAGCCTCTTGAAATTTGTGTTAACTGAGTGAGCACATGAAACGTCTCTCTCTCTCTCTCTCTCTCTCTCCCGATTTGGAAATCAAGATACACGCAGGGTTTGTTCTTTAGAACCTCCAGTGCTAATCGCGAGATATGACGACAAGAAACACTGACCGCTCCTGTACGGATTTTATTGTTTCAGAGGAACAGTGGAGAAACGCTTATAAATAATTAAAGCAGTTTCAATAATAGAACTCGTACGTTACCATGGAGACGGTGGTTTTATAAGAACGAGCATGGAAGTGGCGATCGAAGTGGGAAGAACCACTTTTCGCCGAAGATGGCTCATAGGATTTAAAATTCCTTCTTGTTGTGCCGGAAGTCAGGCCGTGTGTAGCAAATCTGAAGGCCATCCCTGAAAAAAAATTGCGAGACTCGATGGACATGCACAGTCGCGCATGAAGCGACACGAGTTTAATTAGTGTCACGGACGCTAATGACATGACAAACTGCCATCTGACAGCGGGCATGCTAATTAATACGTGTCAGGCTGGTTTTTATCTTTCGATTTTGAATTAGCTTTTGAGGC